TCAGCCTTTACAAAGATTAAAGTGTCTTAAACAGCAGTAAATATAATGTCTCAAGTCCGTCTAATAGTATCAAATGAAAAAGAGCACAAGCAAAATGAAATTTTTGTCAAGTACACTCATCCTCTACAAAGGTTAATGTTTCTCAAACAAGAGTAAATATAATGCCTCAAATCTGTCTAATGGTACGAAACAAAAAGATACCAAAAGAAAAAATGAAATTTCTGTCGGGCATACTCAGGCTCTTCAAAGACTAAAGTGTCTCAAACAGCAGTAAATATAATGCCTCAAGTTCTGTTAGCCAATAGGAAAATCCATAGCCACTTAGAATGCAGAAAAGGAATATGACAGTAAAAACTAAATTAATATTAAGGTGGTCGGGCATATTCAGTCCACATTCAGCTGGATACCTGTTGGTATTGGACGAAATATGCACCCTATGGTCATTGTCCCCAGTGGATTAGAGGTTGATCAAGTAGGATTATACTATATATTTAAATATTATATAATTTTTATATTGGTGGATTTTTTATGTTATTTCTGCACGGAATTATTTTAGAAAAAATTATTTCATGTTTTTTGAAATCATTTATTAATGAAATAATAATTATAAAAAAATTATTTCTGAAACAACTCATTTCGAAATACATTACTTTATTTTGATGAATGTTAAAATATTGAAATAATTAATTCAGAAATAAATTTAGTTATTATTTCATGTAGATTATTTTATTGGAAATTTGAAATATTATTTCGGAAATAATTCATTCATGAAATAATCATATGATTTATTTCAGAAATAAATTATTTCAAGAATGCCCAGGTCTACATCAGACAATCTTCCTATAACCTTTAGTTTTTATTTTAAAAATGATAAATAAAATTCAATGAATACCAACAGATATTATTAACACATCCAAACATGATGATGTAAGGCGGATATCCATTGAATAGGACTTTTTTTTAACAATTTTATTTTAACAACTATTTAAATGTTTATCTGTACATTTTGAGTAGTTGAATTCTATTTCTACATCTACCGCAATGGCGACATGATAATTGGGTTCTTCACTAAAAATCAACATTAGTCTCCAGTGGAGAACTATTTGCGATGCTCAAGGCCAGCGAGATTACAAAATCTGCCTCATAACTTTTATAACAAAGCTGTGGTTAGCCCTATTTCGGGAACGCATCTCCGATGATGTACGGGGCATTCGACCTCCATGCTCTTCCTAACGCTAATGGGATTTCCAAACGATTCATTCCATCATTTGATCAAAGTAATGATCTTTTATTCAAATTCAGAACTTACCTTTAATACTTAATTATTTAAGTTATCTTTAAAAGTTTGTTATCAGTGGACAATAAAATAAAAAACCAAGATATTCATTCCTCTTCTTGGATCCATAAACCTAAATCCTCAAAATCGGAACTAACACAATTTTCTTATCTAATATTATTTGTTTTTTAACTTTATTGTTTCAACTCACATCTGTTTGCAATATCAACAACCTCGAGTGTGCTGTCGGGAAGAAGAAAGAGGATTAAAACGTTGGTAGGCGAGAGAAAGAGGAGTGCCCTACGGCATCCCTTTCTATCTTGATTTAAATATATATAGTTAATGGAGGAGATCCCTCATCCAGCTTCATTGAGCCTCCTAAAAGTATTATACGAAATGCTAGTTGTGGCCATGCCTTGAATTAGTGAGTTGGTATGTTGATGTAAGTTTCTTTGAAATCTTTTGTAGTCTGTTCGTATGCGGTCTTAACGGTTGCCATATAAGTAAAGTAATATTGCTGCAAGTTTTTGATTGAAAGGTTTATAATTTACGTATGTGAATCTTTTTGGCTGTCCCGTATATCTATGATGCATAGATCCATATAGGCTTAAATAACTAAGTTTATGTGTTCAATTTCTATCAAAGTTTTAATTTGGAACGTCTTGAAAGGAGTGAATATAACAGCCGTAGTTTATGTTTAGAGTTTTTGTTTTGTTCTTGATATGTGGGCCCCATGTCATTCTTCTATCAAAGTCAGTCCAAGATATTGAATTTAGTCTGTAAGAGGAATTTGAAGGTAAATAGGAGAAAAAGTTTCACGTCGAAGGGTTAAAGTAATATGTTATGATTTGTCTAGGTTGAGCCGAATTTCTCAGAGTTTGCATCAGTCATGTAATTTTATTAGATGGTGTAGAATCTATGAGGCGTGTATTGGGTTTTCATCTCTATTCAAGATTGTTATATTGTCTATTTAAGTCGTGGTCAGAGTTATTAATTCTAACTTATCGACAGATTATTAATGAATATTAATTTTAAATTCATATGTTTATCATTACATACGAACACAACAGACCTCTTTAGACACACAAAATATTAAATAAATTATGAATTGTTTGTTGGTTAACTTTTTTTTTCTTAGACAGAATATTAGTTTGCGATAGTCAAATTTTAAATTCGATTTAAAAAATAAACTAAAACACTAATATTTACTGGTATAAATAAATTATTTAAAAAGGGTCGTTTATCAGCTTAATTATAGACATACACCCACACATACCAAATAATAAAAGATTCAGCGGACTAATTATGCAAATATATAACTTCCTTCTATTAATTGCGCCCTGGTAATAGTAATAATTAATTAAACTATATTATGTTCTAATTGGCAATAAATTAATTTAATTTATAAAAGAATATGTCTGCTGAGATACTGGTTATCTCTTGATCGGTTCCGGTTACGTTCATATTCATACACTAACATTCTCATCAGCCTTTTTACAATGGAATAATGTTAACCACAGTAGAATAAAATTTTCTATAGTTTTAAAATAAAATAAGTTGGTATATGAACCTTCTAGACTCATGAGAGAGCGGATCAAGGAATCCCACATTTTTCATTGAAAAAGAAATCTATCTTGTATTTTTTTTTTTTAGGATTACTACAGTTTCTAATGACTACAGTTAGTTTCTGGTAAATATTACTTGTCATAAAGATTTATAAATTAATCAACCTTGTAATTCAATTACACTAGCTGTCAATTTAAGAATCTAGTGACAGAGAATTGTAAGTATACTTGAACTTAGATCATTTATCTAAAAAGTCATTCATTATAACCTTAACATAAAATATTGTTAATAAAGTGATTTGATATCTCTCTCTATCACAAAAGAAGTTGTTTTGTTATCATACTTCAACTATTTTTTAATAACAATATTAAGGTTAGAAAATCTTCCATTTTGAGAGAGAACGAATCACATACTTCCATGTGTTTCAAGTTTCCATGGAAACGATTATACGCCCATAAATATCTAAACTTTTTATTACATCGAAAATATATAATCGTTAACACTGTTGATTTATCAACTTAATTCAGAAATAAGCAAAACAGAAATATAAACGTAATTATGAGACGTCATGAGCGAAGATGAGGAGGAAAACAGAGAGTGGTTCTCCTTCAGTTCTTTTTCTTTTTCACACTTCAACTGCAGATGAGATTTCGTTCCCTTGAATTAGGCCCTCGGTCATTTTTGAAATTGATGGGTCAAGCGATGAATTAGAAAACCACATTCTAAATAACATCCAGTACAGTTTTCAAACTAGATATTACGATTATTTACAACGCAATTTGGCATGGCCATACCTAACCGTAATCTTCTTACAGCTATTATATTAATCTCGTAACTAAATAAATAATTAATAAAAACAAAAACCTATACATAAAAATAAATGTTTTCAATAATTATCGTCGAAATATAAAAATTATAAACTATTTTCATTCAAGTCAACATTTCAACCAGACTTTGCAGGTCTTCTTCAGAGCTGCAACGAACAAGATACACAAGCATATAGAAAATTGTGAAAGTTACATAATATTTAGATTTTTTTTTTTTTTTTTTTTTTTTTTTTTTTTCTTACCCTCCAAAAAGTTTATTGAAACAATTACATATATAGTATACAATAATACAATATAAACATGTAATAAATTCCTTCCACTGCCCGAGGGCATTTTAAGGATTGGGGATAGCTAAAGGTTACATATGTGGCAGAAGGCCAAATAATATTTAGATAAAAATTATAAACAATGTGAATAAACTTATTAAAATTATAAAAAGTGGGAATAGAAAGTACATAGAAATATTAATAACAATTAATTAAGTAACAAGATCTTAAACTGAAGTAAATAAATGGTAACAATTGTTGTGAATTACTGTAGATGGGGAAATATTGAATGTAAAATGAAGGATGGATAACATACGTAATTATGAATATAATCTTACAGATCATAAGGAAAGATTGAAAGAAAAAGGAAAAATATTAAGAAATAATGGACATAAAGAGAGTTTGAAGCAGCAGAAAAAAATATTTAAAAAAAATAAAAATAAATAAATAACAATTTCATGATCGCCAGCCCGGACGATCTGCTTCCTCTAAAATATACAATCATTAACGATTAAATATTCAAAAATAATAAACGTGTAAATCTCCGTTTCAAAATAAAAATAAATAAACACGCTTTAGCTTAGATCGAAACTACTATCAATTATCCTATTAGATCACTATTCTTAGCTTTATAAACATATTATCTCCTTTATTTATAATATAATAAAAATCTTAAACGTATCCTTCTTTCACTGAATAATTGCGCTACCTTGACGTGGTTCTTCCACGAGATTTCAAGTCACGCAAAACATTTACAATTGAATAAATTGTACAGAACTATCTCTTAACAAAATTAACTGATAAGCTTAATTCTTAACTGTTGTAGTTAAAAAAAAATTTATTTTGAGGTGAACATACATTACTTGTAGAAATATCTGTCCAATATGCTCAAGTTAGATTATATAAGGAAGATAGAAAAAAATATAGATCCATAGTTATTTTCACCGTAGTGAAAGATAACAGATAAATAAAAAAAATGTGATTCCCAATACATTTACAAGAGAATTGGAAAATGGTAGAAATGAAATAAACATGATCGAAATTTTAAAAAAATACATATATAATTTAATAAATAACGATTTCATTTAATGTACAATGATTTTGGTTAGGTGGAAAAGACGTTGACAAATCCAGATTTTCAGTAATCGAAGACACTGAAAAAAAAAAATTGTTTTATGAATGCCTAGATCACACACAATAATTAATAGGTATTAATACGCAACATAAAACAATGGATATAATTATTCATGTATAATATATAAGTAATAATGTAATGTGTTATCATAACTATAAAAAATTAATGACATTGTAGTATTACATTTCTTTTTTTTTTCCTAACCTCCCAAAAAGTTTATTTAATTACAGTTATATATATCGAAATACATTTAACGTAAATACCTCTTGTAATGCACGATAGAATCTGTTCGTACGAGGTGTTCAATACAAATAAATATATACATAATCCGAAACTTAGAATAATAATAATAACTAGTAGGCCCTTGAGAAAAAATCGCACATAAGAAAAGAAAATAATGCAACGTATCATACGATACAGAAATCAATTGTTACTTTATCGATAAATATAATCGACAAAGAAATCAAAAATTAATTTAAAACTTCATTAATGTTTGGAACCAACAATTTTTGCAAATTCCAATAAGCTGTAACTTTGCTAAAAATTGTCCGATTTCGATAATTTTTTTTTTCCTTTTGTAAGGAATTTAGTAATATTTTATATAATCAGGGAAAAGTGTGTAATTTTTTAGATATTCGCAAATTAAGTTTCTTTTCTTTCATAACTTTTCTTCCTGAATTTTCGGGTTGATAGGACTATTTTGCCCGCCTGAAGGAGAAGGGAGCCTTCAAAATTGCTGGCTTTATCTTAAGATTTGGTGAAGAATTAACGATAACTTCTTCTCTCTGGATCGTAGGGGCCTCAAGTCGACGAAATGAGACATGTATTCAATGACAGTACTACCATTAACGTAAGGTTGTGCGGATGCGAACCCTTTGCCTTGGGTTATCTCGAAAATAGTGCGTTTTCGGGCTTAAAAACGCACGGCGAAGGAACTATCCGGTTTTGCTGTACACATCAAAATCTTCAATGTCCGATTTGTCCCCCGCATCGATCTACAGACTTACCATCGTTCCAAGTATTGAAGCCTAGCAAAATGTTTGTATCGACTTTATTTCTTTTAGAAAGAAAAACAAAAGCGGAGAATACGATTCGCTAATCCCCAGTGAAATTTTGAATCCAACGGTACCCCATTCATAGTATTTGAGCATGACAGGAGCTTATATTTGGTACAAAACCGATTCTGAGCCTTACTGTAATAATATATGTGGGGATAAAATAACAATTACAGTACAAGTCTATTATTTTTAGAAATATACACCTAAAGTAAATGAGTTCCGTCAACGAAGTCTTATTTCTCCTCATTTGTATTTAGAAATAAAGTAAAATCTGATTTAATTGTAACATAATATTGTATATAGGTATAATATTGCATATAGGTATGTATGTGTTCTTTTTGTTTATTTATTTTTAGGTTATTTTATTCATATTTATTGTATATATATTACTTTTCTGTATAATTTATTTTATTTATTGTACATCACTAGCGGATCCAGGATTTAATTTTGGGAGGTGCTTCAGCCCGAAAGATTTTTTTTTCATATACGTATAACGATAATTGATTACCTATATGAAATGGTGTTTAAGTGGTTCTTGGTGTCCTATTAAATATAATTACACGAGCAAGAATACTTTAAGAGATAGTTTTTAATATTTTTTTCTGCAAAACATGGTTACATTGTACCATTTGGAAGGGGGGGAGGGGCTTCAGCCCGAAAGCTCCTCCCTTCCCCTCCCTCCCGTAGATCCGCCTGTGTTGTACATAGAGTGTGAATGTGAATCTCTGAACACTATTATAAACGTCCTTGAGATGAATTGTAATATTTTTCAATAAATAAGTTTTTAAAAAATTGTAACATTAATGCTAACACCTGAGGAAACTGAATAAAATTTTGAAATGAACTGTACTACTGAATGACTTTGTCGAGTTCTGATTTTGAAGATTTTATGTGTTTACAAATTTAATTTGACGATCGTTCCAATTTTAGTATATGTACCTTCGAAGCGTATATTTTTTCAATAAATAAGTTAAAAAAAAATTTGACGAATGAATGGCGAGGAGGCGTTATTTTACACACTCATACAAATTGGTTAACCTTCTAAATCAATTTGGAAGGTCTTTTGATTGCTGCAAAATCTCGAAATACAAATCTTAACTTTGTTCCTCCTTAAAATAACATTTGAATCCACTTTTTTTTCTTTTTTTTAAAAATAATTTTATTATTCTGGGACTAGTGCCCCTTTAGAACAAGTTACAAATATAGAATATATACACTTTACTCCTTGGGTCAGAATTAATTATTAAATCTAGTAGTTATTCACTCACCCGCTTGCAGCGCTGGAATGGGCGCTCGAGTGTCCACCGTGGCCCGCTGAGCTGCTGGCTGAGGAAAAGGCGAAGCTGCCTCCATGACCGCCGCCATGACCGCCTCCATGACCGCCACCATGACCACCTCCATGACCGCCTCCATGACCGCCACTACCTTTCTTGTCCTTACCGAACAGCAGGTGTCCTAGGACTAAACCCAATTCCATTTATTAATATAGCTCCATAATCTTAGGTTTTATTGAATCACATTAAAAATATTCAACAACTGAAATCATAGCAAAATCGGCCATGCCCATCGTCAATAAACAATATTGATTACATTTACGAAACAAAATTTAGAAGGATTTCTGCGACAGATTGCACAATGAAGCATTGTAAATGAGAAGGGAAAAAAAGTGAGAGATGAGTGAGAACATGGGCTAATAAGAAAGCAGAGAAATAATATAGGCGTGGTCCTTCGATAGCCATTATGAAAAAAATAAAATAAATGTAAAAGTAACGTAGACTTGAAATTCTCAAAACAGGAAGTGACCTTTTGAAATTCAGGGCATAAGCGGATATATATGAAGAAGTGTGTACAAGATATCCTTCAAGATTATCTGAACGGAAAATTATTCTTAATTAATATATTTCAACCAGTGGCAAGAGTGTCAAGTATTAACCACGTTGCTTAGGTATTGCAAGCGTCTTTGCCCGCACGGCTACCTCGGCCAGTTCGAGAGATTGCTATAGCCCTAAATGTGTCGCAAACAAGCGTAAAAAGCCATTTGCACAAATTCGACTATGTTCCCAGGCTTAATGTCTGGGACCCTCACTCTCTAACTTAAGTCAATTTGGCAACACGCATTTCTGTTATAATTCACTAACGGCAACGGCAACAAAACGATCCATATTTGAAAAGTTTGGTAACAGAAGATGAAAATGGATATTTTACAATAACGTTCAAGAGTGCCCATCCTCCCTCCTCCCCCCAAGGTCGATGGTGCATGAACCCTCTCCTCCCCAAGATATTTTATTGCTCTCATCTTGTTCAAAACATTAGAAATAAAAGTTCCGTTAATCATATTAAATTACACTTGATGACGTTTGGTCCATGTATTCCCTTTGTCTTCTTGTTTGAAACTTTTCAATCCGAAAATTCATAAATCTGTCGAAATGTGCCCTCCTCAACGATTGTGATGAAGGGGACCATGAAACTCATGAAATCCCCTGATAATGTAGTCCGTAGAAAATCTTAGGGACCTAGTAGTGAGGCTCCTAGATGAATGTCAAAACCCGGATTGCATCTAAAGAAGATAATGCTTTTCATATGAGTGGGATTTCAAGGGCGTTACTTTCTATGAGCTATTGCCATCAGAACAAATATGTGATTCAACTTCATACTGCTCACAATTAACAAAATTGGATCAATCAATCAAAAGTAAACGCCCAAAACTGGCAAATCGGAAAGGTGTTGTGTTCCACCAATACAAAGCTAGGCCCCACACCTCATTCGCCATAAATTATTGAGCCTAGGATGGGACCTTTTGCCCCACCCTCTCTATTCACCATACCTAGCTTCAAGTGACTACCACATATTCCGCTCTCTTGAGAAATCCATGAATAGAAAGAAATCTCAAAAGAAAGAGGACATCAAAAACCACTTGGATCAGTTATGCAGTTAGTGTAATATGGAAAAAAGTCATAATAAATAATGGTCTATATATTGTAGATTAAAATCAATTTTATGTCTATAATACATAGAGTTTTATTTCACCATGAAAAATCCAAAGGACTTATTTGCCAACCCAATATATTTCAAAAAAATATAATCATTTCATAAATTATATCATTTTCTATACTAAATTAAGGCCAAAACAACCAAAAAGCAAAAATAACAATTATTTAGTCAAAATCAAAACAGAAATTCTCTCGACATTTAAAGTACCCCCTTATTAGCCCCTGGTACTGGTACTGAGTAATTCATCTTCCTGATGTGACGTAGTGGTAACCTAGTATTACTATATTATAATGTTACCAAAACGAAACCTCTATAGATTTATAGTTCTTATTAAATATACTTCATATTGCACGATGTGCAGTCAATAAACCACATTTTTCCGAATACTTATAATATCTGAAAGACATCAGTTTTAAAGTTACTACTTGAACTGCATTTATTAACACGGATTTTATTGTATCTCTTTCCTAAGTTGAGTATCTTCATGGCCATTTTGGTTCTAGTCCCTGTTCCTGTCCACTGAATTTATTCGTTCACTTCAACATCCGGGAGGAAGATCAATGATTAATTACACATTTTCTTTTAATGAAGAGGTTACCATCCGGTTGTAGGAACTACAAACATAGACCATCAATCCTCGCAGCTAATAATATATGCAGAATCGTGATTAACAATTCGTTACCCCTTTTATATTCGGTGAAACACCTTGAGTAAAATAATAAAAGTTGATATAAAATTAAGGGTTAGATTTTTTCATTTTTCATAAAAACACCTAGTTATGCAACGTGTTATCGTTTGTTCTTTAGCAACTTCTTTCTATATATATACATTTCTATATAAGCAATTTATAACTTGTAATTATAGATTTCGGATAATTAAATTTTACTGCGGGCACTAAACACACAAAATCCTTATCGTGAACACGACATAATAATACTTTCTGGAACCATCACAAATCATCAATAAAAAGTTGTGGAAGAATGATATGAAGAAAGAGGTAGATCCTTACTTGGACTTCCCTGAACATACGCCAGGACCAAGACAACCACGAGGAAGACCAACCAACTCCTGCTGATCGCCATGTTCACTATAAGCATCTACTGGACCGACCATGCTATATACCTGCAGGATAAGAGCTAGGGGAGGCCAAGGATCTGGATTCCTTCCTTCCGGATACCGAAAATCCTTGAGATAAGTTCTACCGGTAACGGTGAATTCACCTACGCTGAACCTTATCGCGAGATCCATGATTACTGGTCTATGAATAATAAATGGATATTATTTATAATAAAGCCTTCCTCAACAAACTTAATTACGTTAAGATTATAGACAAGAAAAAAAAATTAATAAAAAAAACCAACTACAGAAATTTGGGCTCTTTTCTGCTTTAAGCACACCAGGGACGCTATCTTCATCCTTTTTTGCCCCTCTAACATGGCGTCAGGTCAAGATGCAATTTATAATAATAATCTATTACAAAGAAGATGAAATGCTGAAGATTTCGCTCGCTTACGTATGCAATTTCAATTTATAATATCTGTGATATTTTATTCCATATGTTTAACCAAACGCGTTATAATTTGGTTCTCGATACTATTATTACTCTCTAACACGTCGTCGCGTTAAGATATAAATTTGAATCAAAGCTTATTACAAGGCTAAAGTACTGTCGCTCAATCTCAATTGGGTTTAGCCCCAGTGTCGCGGTTGAAAGAGAAGTGCAGGGATCTCCTGGAGTCATGCTTTTCCCGGAAGTCTGGAATCAATTACAAAGTCTAGCTCATTACAAAGAAGATAAAATTCTGAAAATTTTCCTTCCATGCAGTATACAGGTCCGATTTTTTTTAGTTCCTGAGATAGTTTAGTCCAAATTCAAAAACACTCCAAAAATTCACTGGTGTGCTTAAGGTGGAAAAGAGCCGACATTTGTAAATCTTACCTCTCCTAAGAGTAATGTATTTACACATCTACTTATAATGTATTTACAGTACCTCGGTAGACTGTTAGGAAAATTGACCTCTATAAATATATATATATATATATATATATATATATATATATATATATATTTTAACCTTATTTATTGAAAAATATTACAATCTGTCTCTAGGACATTTATAATAGAGTTCACAGATCACATTCACACTCTATGTACAATAAATAAAATAAACTATAAATATTTAAATTAAATTTTTGTGCGGCTGTCGGATTATGACTACTACATCAAGTTTAAATATTCATAGATGCCAATTTCCCTAATAATCAATCTACTAACATGCTTAAGTAGATACGCGACTACATTCCATTAGGATTTCCCCTATTTCAGTAGACAGTTTTTTAACCTGTAATTTTAACCTTTTGTAGTTACATATGATCACAATCTTACACACCATATGAGCCTTTCAGTTGACAGAATGAATATCTCCAATTTAAACATTTATGATTATTAATTTTAGTGATATTTCTAATAGGAAACTTTATACCTTTATTCACAGTCCTATATTTCAACATCGTAATCACCTACTCTGGAATCACCTTAGAAACTGTATGTACAAATTTTCCAACTAGAAATATCACTAAAATGACTTTACTCAAAAATATTAAAATTTGAGTCATTCTGTCAATTGAAAGGCTCATATGATAAGAAACCAAGTAGAATAAGTTATATACCTTATAATAGACGAATTAATAATAATAGTAATTTGTCAGTGTTTTGAGCCCAATTCGTTTCAAACTGGTTGATATTCACAAAATATGAACTTTTTTTGCCATCAGTGCAAAAGGAAACCAATTAAGAAGCTGAAAGTCGAATTTGTAGGACAGCCTTCAAACTACTAACCTTGTTTTTTTTTCATTTCATATGCCATTTCTTCAATTAATAAACACGTAGGCATATAATCAAGCATACATATTTTAAATAAATAGTCTTTATTCCTTTGAATTTCCTTTTTCCTAGCTCTATCCTTCAGAATAAGAATATATTTTTCTGATAATCAATTGAACATGAACCTTAATTAATTTGCAACTAGATAAACTAGAATTACATTTTTTAGACACTAATTTAAAAAAAAAGAAAAAAAAATTAAAGATAATCGAAAAAATACTTAAATAAAAATAGCTGGAATCAAAATAATTTTATTCATAAATACTTATAAAGACAGTACCAAATAATAATGCCAAATTTAAAAGATACAAACTTTTATTTTTTACATAAATTAGGCCAATCTTCACCAACATTTTATTGATACACTATTAATTACAGCGTGTTTGTTGGTGTTTTGTTAATTTTTTTTATCATCAGCGGAGGTGTTTCGGAGTTAAGAGGTATGTCATGCGTATATATAATGTAGAGTAAAGGAGGCAGTATTGATACTTGAGGTACTCCTGCCAATACTAAACGAATCGAGGAAATTTCTAGGCCC